AAGAAGAAGAAGAAGAAGAAGAAGAAGAAGAAGAAGAAGAAGAAGAAAAGAAGAAGAAGAAGAAGAAGAAGAAGACACACCCACCCAGTCATATGGCTATGCTCACCTAGCTACTTCCACCTAGCCATGCCGACAGAACCGGTAGTAAAAATATTTGCATCCCACCCCTGCTCTCTTCTCTGCCCTTTTCCCAAGTCTCAACATCTTTTCGGTAATGTGGCGACTGAAACCAGATGCCGTTTTCCGGGTTTGCCCTAATTAGTGCTTTATAAGAAGATAGAGAAGCAACGGTTCCTCTCGCAACCTGGATGAGACCAGACCAAAAGGTCAGTCGATCCTGGTTTGCTCTGAAATCCGTGGGTGTCTCGGGGCCAGTCAAGGTGACCCCATTTCATGGGATGGCTGGCTAAGGAAGGGGCAACCTGGAATCCGGTCCGCTTGGGGCAGCAAGGCTGAGGCAAAAATCCAGCAAAGCAAAAAAGAACATGCCCTTTTCCCACTTAGAGCCTGAGTCAATATCACGGCAGTCAGCCCAAGAGACATGAGCGGCTGCTGATCTGACCCACCCTGTAGCAATGCAGGACTGAGAGTGAACTCCACCCACCCCCCTGTCCCCCTGCTCTGGCCTCTCTGCTCAACTCCAGCGATCATGGCCAACTGCCATGGGGGGCAGGGCTGAAACACCACAGACCCCCAACCCCTATGAGGGGTTGGACCCAAGAGAGACATTTATCGGGTGACTCAATCATTGGGGGCATTGCTGCAGTGGCAATGGACACCCCAAAGCAGCCATGGCAGCCCAAGAACTATTCCAAAAGCGGGAAGAGGACTTGAGAGTTGAAACAGGCCAGTTTCTCCTAGCCAGCGCTCTCCAATCCCCACATGCTTGCAAAGGCCTGGTCTCTCTTTCTCTGGACTACCCTTGCCCCCAATATAGCAATAGCACTTAGACTTATATACCGCTTCACAATGCTTTCCAGCCCGCTCTAAGCGGTTGACAGAGTCAGCCTCTTGCCCCCAACAATCTGGGTCCTCGTTTTACCCACCTCG